ATGGTTTTATATTTTTTAAAATACGTAAATAGATGAATAATGGAGAAACTCCATGGAAGAAATAGTAATGATTCATATAAATCACTTAATGGTAAATGCCTCAAATAAATCCAACGAGTAACTAATAATCCTGTTATACAGAAAAAAGTAGCTATCATGCCCTTTTCTAACGAAGCATAGAGTCCTACGGTTTCATCGACTAATAAGGTTATCAAATTAATTTCAATATCTCTAAGCCACACATCAATCTAAGAAACCAGAGCGGGCTACTAGCGTTGACCTTGTCGAGCTAACAAGCAATGATCAGCCAGCCCCTTGGGCAAAAAGATCACTGATAGGCATGGAGATGGCTATTTGGAGTCTGAGTTTAGAGTTCACTATCTGAAATTCAATATCCCTATCTCCCGTAAAGACTAATCACTTTCTTGAGTGGCTACTTGAATCTCAGCTTACCACCATCCTGTCAAGTGAAGAAAGATCAGACTAGAGACCAAGCGCATTAGTATACCAACTAACATACAGAGAAGAAAAGAAGTCAATCCAGTACCAACTAACATACAGATAGGAAATACAGTAACATACAGACAGAGAAGAAGGACAGACAGTAGGAACATACAGAGAAGAAGGAAGTACAGTAACATACATACAGAGGTTCACCGCAGGGAATGAATCAATAGAGTTTATTAATCAGTACACAGACAGAAAGGTAATGCAGAATGGAAGTAGGAAAAGGAGGGAAGAAGTCCAAGTAGTGAGTGCAGTAGTTAGTTCTTCCATTATAGTAGAGCCAGCTAGGAGGAAGTTAAAGTAGAGGCAGGAAGTAGTAAGTTCTTACAGAGTAGTAGGAAGTGGAAGAGTTCGAAGTTCAGTTCTGTAGCTAGCTTTATGGCTTGACTTGGTCCTTCCAACCAAGTAAGCAAAAGAAAGGAGAAGTGCCCTCAGTAGCTTAGCATCATAAACAGTACTAGGTTAGGATCATAAACAGGACTAGGTCAAGATCATATACTAGTTTAACAGCATAACACAGTAAAGAGGTTAGGATCATTAGGTCAGGAGTAGAACACAGTAAGAGTTCAGGATCATAGACTAACTAGTTTAATAGCGAGTAGGAGTGAAACAGCTCGACCAAAGGGAGAGGAGTGAGGGATCAGAAACTACTTTAACAGCATAAACAGTAGGAGTGAAACAGCTCGACCAAAGGGAGAGGAGTGAGGGATCAGAGACTAGTTTAACAGTATAAAGAGTAGGAGTGAAACAACTCGACCAAAGGGAGAGGAGTGAGGGATCAAAAAGTAGTTTAACAGCGAGTAGGAGTGAGCGAGAATTAGGTCAGGAGCATAAACAATAGTAATAATGATTTGATTTGCACTCCTCAGGGCTTACTTACTGCTTGTGCATCGGGATTTCTCACTGACTTGTACAAGTCAGGAACGAAGTGCGAGACCGGAAGGGAGAGGAACAAAGTCATGATTCAACTCGGAACAAGGTATGTTCGTTATACCCTTCATGACTCGTTTAGGAATAACCTATTCATGGGGGGGGGGGGTTGGAGTATCACAGGAGGGAGTATAACGAATTCGAGTATTTGGAGTTACGAAGGTGTGGCCGGCACCATAATATCTGATTGGGGAGGAAGATTAGAATTAGAGATTGATATGGGGCGTTCTAATCGAAGGGTCATACTTCTCGGCCCTATTACGGTAAGGCCAATGCACCAGCCAGCCGGTGTGGTGGCGAACAGGCTGTGCTGTAAGCTAAGCTGTTCCCCTTGTAGACGGAGGAGATAAAAGTGTGCCGTGCTTTCTTCATAAGATTCTATAGTAGCACTAGTATCTTATTTGATTTCACTTAGCTTGCCCCTCCCATCCCATGCCTTTCTTTGTTGAACCAACCCAACAGGCGATTTCCGACAAGTCTTTCTTCATTTTGCGAGCAAGAAGGGAAACTACAGGGATGAAATGAAAAGTGTTTCTTACGATTACACCCAACAGCCCACTTGAGCAATTTTCCATTCTCCCATTGCTTCCTATGAATATAGGTAACTTTTATTTCTCATTCACAAATCCCTCTTTCTTTATGCTGCTAACTCTCAGCTTGGTCCTACTTCTGGTTTATTTTGTTACTAAAAACGGAGGAGGAAATTCAGTACCAAATGCTTGGCAATCCTTGATAGAGCTTATTTATGATTTCGTGTCGAACCTGGTAAACGAACAAATAGGTGGTCTTTCCGAATCAAAAAATGTGAAACAAAAGTTTTTCCCTCGCATCTCAGTCACTTTTGACTTTTTCGTTATTTCGTAATCCCCAGGGTATGATACCTTATAGCTTCACAGTTACAAGTCATTTTTTCATTACTTTGGGTCTCTCATTTTCTCTTTTTATTGGTATTACTATAGTGGGATTTCAAAGAAATGGGCGTTAGAATTAGAGGATTCCGTCCCGCCCAGTATAAATTCTCACTTTTTGAAGATCCTCAGTGCCAAATCCATCCAACAAAAGATGGCTTGAATTGGACTCCTTTTGGCAAATTTCATTGAGACTGAATAACACATCATAATCATAGACTGCACTCTAAAAAGCCTCACCCACCAAAGCCCTTTAATAAAGCTTCACTTCCAAGAACTTTTGACTCTGCGGACTTTGTCATCAGCACTAGCTGGCGAAGAGAAATAATCCAGAACATGGGGAGAAATTGAGGGTCTACTTTCTCCCAACAGCCCGCCATCCTTAACTTTGAATGTTTCCAAAAACAATCTTTCCACAAAAAGAGTTTTCGCTTATATCAATTCAGAATAAAAGATCAAAGGGATGCGAGCATGAGACGAGTAGAAAATCATTCCTACGTGCTCCTCCTTGCTCACCGACTTCAGAATCTAAAAGTGACGGATGTTGTGTGCCGCTTTGGTTACAAAGGTTGGTTGTTGGGGTCTAGGTTTATGGATGGATTCAGTCAACGTCCAACTCAATCAATATCAACAAGATGTCGTGACCAGTTAGGCTTGGTTGATTTTGTCAGAAAAGAAAGTAGGTTTGTTTCGTGGGTTCATTGATTAGTAAACCTCCGGTGCTGGTAAGGTCGGGACCGTGATCGTCCGTCTCTGGTTTGTCGGCCGATAAGATCTTTGAGATGGACTAGCCAGCTGGGTTGGTTTGGCTATTCCTTTCTATTGAAAAGGAGTCAGCTGTCTGCGTGAGTCACCTTCTTCTAGGCTTCGCTGGACGACACGACATTCTCGTTCAAATATAGGCCGACCGTACTTGTGATGGTTCCCAAGGATCTAATATGACCACTTAGGTCTACGTTGCCACGATATTGTTCCATGGAAGTGGGTGGGTAGAAGTTTGGCCCGATTTTTTTTGGTGTCGTAGGGGAGGGATTGACCTTTCTAACGCATATTCAGTCGTACTGGCATGGCCCCACTGATTTTTTGTCGATCGGAGCATCCAGCAGCATAACCCAGTTCTACTTGACTAAGTCCCGTGCTCGTCCAAGGAGGGAGTTTGCTTTACCCAACTCTCTTTTTGATAAGAAGGCAGAACCCAACCCCCCGACCCAACATTCATTATTTTCGAATGAAGAATGAAGAGTTCCCTGCCCCTGCAAGCATCTACTCCTATCAAAATGAAAAGCGTGATTTTACTAAACAAGCAAGAAAATTCCTTTCTATTAATCAAGGGCTTTAGGCTTTACTAATAACAAGCATAAAAGGTAAGTAAGGCTTTTGAGCTGTAGCTTTACAACGAGAGAGAGAGAGCTTAGATAGGGCCCTTTCTTCTTATTAGTCTTATTAGTCAGATAGGTTGGTTGTTTGAGCGCATTTTGGAGTGTGCTGTGGCTAATACCCGAGGCATAAAAGAAGCATTTTCAACGGGATCTCGAAACCACCAGCCACCTCGACCTAATTCATGGGCTCATCATGAAAGTTCTTGCTAATAAGAATGTGTGGGCTGTTCTTATTCTACCGGAGGGGTTTGAATTAACTCTTTGCGATCGTATTTCTACCGAGATTAAAGAAATTCTATCCATATACGTTCTGATCGCCAACTCATACTAGATCTCGTTGCATTTTATTGGAATTGTTAGAATAACAAAAATATATTTGACTTTTTTTGTTTCCGAAGTAACTCTAATCAACTAGCACTATTTTGATGTGAACCTTTACTTTAGGAGTAATTCATCGAATTACTTAGATCTAAAATAATAACATCACCTTTATATGATTCCCTATAGATACCTTCGATTAGAAGGCCCCATATTAGAATTAGAGATTGATCTGGATTATTTCTCATAAGTAAGCAAGCTCAGGTCAAGCCGAAACTCAAGAAGCCTGAACTGTAAACGAAGAAGAAGCCTGAACCTCTGCTTCTCTCTCCCTCCTTCGATCTCTATATTGGTCTTACAATGTCTCTCCCTCCTTCGATCTCTCTATTGGTCTTACAATGTCTCTCCCTCCTTCGATCTCTCTATTGGTCTTACAATTCCATTGCCTTAACTGGGGGGCTTCTCTCACCCTCCTTCGATCTCTCTATTTGTCTTAGAATTCCATTGCCTTAACTGGGGGGCTTCTCTCTCCCTCCTTCGATCTCTCGGGGCTTCTCTCTCCCTCCTTCGATCTCTCTATTGGTCTTACAATTCCATTGCCTTAACTGGGGGGCTTCTCTCTCCCTCCTTCGATCTCTCTATTGGTCTTACAATTTCATTGCCTGTAATACCCGAACTACAATGGAAAGTTTAAAATCTAAGTTTACCTTGAAAGTCGATCTCTCTCAATTTTATTGAAGGTTTTAGGGACCAAAATCCGAGATGCAGCCCAAGAGAAAGATGATTTGAAATAAAAGAAGAAGTTAAGAAAAAAAAAAAAAAAAATGATAGAAAATTAGAAGGATGGTCATGGTTAATCCCGGAGGGTAATTTGGTCATTATACCCTCCATAAAGGAAAAAACAAAAAAAAAAAAAAAAAAAAAAAGAGAAAGGGAAGAGAAGGAAAAACGGCCGGAAAGAAAGGAATAGAAATAGGGAGAAAGAAAATTATAGAGAGAGGAGGAAAGTTCTAGAGAGAGAGAAGGAGGTAGCCGCCGCTCCGGCCACGAGGAGTCCGGTTCCGGCCGAGCCTTCTTCATGAAATCTTCACAGAACTTAGAAGAGAACATTCTTAACTTTTAGATCATCGAAAACCATCAAGAAATGAGGAAAAATCTAAAGGTAAAGTTCTTGAATCCAGATTCTCGAAATTGCTTCAGATCTCTGAGATATAGTAAGAGTTAGAGCCTGAAATTTGAGTATGTTAATCTACAGAGGATTACGCTCAAAACCTGAGAAGGAAGTTGTAATCGATTCAGATCGGAAATGGGAGTTTCGGCGTTCGTCAAAGAGGTAGGTATTGATGTTTCTTGCCATTTTCGGACTAAGGTAATTATCCCGGGGATTAGAAATAAATTACAAGAAAAATACCTGCCTAAAGATGAATATACGCTCTACAAATCTCGTGAAAGAACCATGTTGATCCGAGTTAGGTAGAACGAAATGTGAAAATGTAAAGAAAATGGAACAAAGTAATCGAATGCTGGAAATCGCAGGAGAAAGGAGGAGGCTGCGCTTCGCCGGAGGAGAAGGGCCACGTGTCAAGCGTCCATTGGAGAAGAAAAAAAATCAAAGAAATACTTCGCGTCGGGCGGGATTCGATGGCCGGCGGCCCGCTACTCGAGTTCGCGACCCGATGACCCGCGCGCAACCCGGACCACCGACCCGGCTTCTCGTTGCCACGCGTCAGCGTAAAAGAATTCGAATTTCCAGCGCGTCCTTCCGGTTTCGAACCGACGACCTCGACCTCGGCTGACCGTTCATCGGGGCGCCACGTGGCAACACCTCAGCGCGCGTCTCCCCTCCCTCATGCGCGTCCGTACGCGCGCGTGGCCGTGCGCGTGTAGCTCCTTCCCAGGCGCGTGTGAGCGCGTGAGGGTTTAAATGAGAAAATTCAGTATTTGTGGACACTCTACTGGTGTAGAAATGCTCAACGAAGAACACGCGTCAATCGGGTAAGTCACCACCTGGAACTTTAGGAAGAAATACTTGCAGGAGTCGCTTGGTTATGCATGCATGCTAGTTTAATTACCTTAGGTGGTATTTTTCCATGATTGAATGTAAGTAATTTGATTGTTAAGAGTATGGATGTATTATGTGAAATATTACGAAAATTATCTGAGTGTTGCTATTATGTTCTAAGCTTCCGCTTTATATGTAAATGTTTAATTCATGCTGAAAGGAGAATAGGAACTTGTGAACTCTGCGCTCCGGGATTTGACGGATGTCATGGCCCCGTTGAGCATGTATGTTTATTTTGCATGATGATGCTGGATGATAGTTGTGTGCACACTCAGTTAATTTCCACGTCCCACGAGAATGATAAAGTCTAGGGATATGTGGTTAGAGTAACAAGACACTAAGGTATAAGACCTAACATTCCCCAGTAGGCTAACAGACCACCACGGCATACGAGCCACCTCTAGAGTACCCTTAGGCTACTTGTGTGTGGATGGTGATATAGCTTCGTGGGGGACCAGCGGGTTCCTGATCAGGACTCGACTGCTCGATAGCCGTTTAGTATGGGAAACGGGATACCCACGTCGTAATTGACCGTTTAGCTGGATGGAATAGGGGAGGTAGCCCTCCCAAATACAGGGGGATTACCATGGGGCTAGGGGGTTGCAGCTCACTTCCTAGGCAAGACCCCAAGTAATCTCATACCCATGCCGAGGTAGCCACTCGCAAGGCACCAGTCCGACACGGGTTAGCATAAAAGGAACTCTAGGGGTATAAATAGAAGATCTAAGAACCAAAGAAGCCCGAAGGGGGCAAGTCCCTAGGGGGAAGCCCTAATGAGCTAAGACCAGAATCAGATGATCTAGAGCCAAAGGAAAGTCCGTGGTTGTTTGTTAAGTTTAGGGTGCGACGAGAGCCTACAAGTAGGTGGCTTACTGAGTATAATTTTTATACTCATTCCTTTTACCCTTTTTTTTTTAGGTGCCGGTCGAGGTGGAGGAGCGTTCGAGAGCTGTGCGGTCACAGAGGGGGTCGTTCCGGAGCGTCAGTCCCTTGTCGGTCTTTTCGAGTCTTTTGTGTTTCATTTTACATTTGTAATTTTCTTTGTAATAATTTCGAAACAAATCTTCTCTCTCTTGTTTTAACCAAATGGAGTTTTTATCTTTTTACTTTTCTCTTCTTCTATTTTCTTTTTGTTTATTTTCGATTTCGTCTTTTAGTTCACGGTCTGATTTTCGAAGCCTTGAAAATCGGGTCTTGACAGATTGGTATCAGAGCAGTCGGTTTTTGATTCTGTAGACTTTATTTTTAGGATAGAGAGTCGTACACCTCTGTGACTCAGCTCGACAACACGCCTCGCCGCGACCAGGTATGCAGTCTAACCCTGTTTAGTAGATTATGTTATGATGTAAAGCATGGGAATTTGATGTTTGTCTTAGGTTATGTGGTAGCTATGATTATGCCTTAGGGCGATAAATAATGAATGATCACTCTATACGTCAATGCTAGATACGAGTTATTGCGAGGAGGCCGAGAGAGGTCATGTTATAGCTTACTAGCCTTAGGGAGATAGAGAGATGACGTCGCAGAGTGCGAGACGTCCAAAGATGAACATGAGACTTTCTAAGGCCTAGTACGAGGTGAATTACCTAGGACCCAGCCTCCTGTGACCATAATTCTTGATGACAAGCATGCCTCCGTGGAGAGCATGTAGAAGGCTTAGACAGTATAGAGCATGCCTTAGTATAAACCACAAAGGTAGACCCAAGCAATATTGTTCGTACAACCAAAGACGATCACTATAGGAATTAAATACCCCTCAAGCAAACCATTACCTCAACTGAGTTTTGGTTAAGTCGGGAAGTCGAGAGATAAAATTCACCAACAATGAGAGTGAAGCGATGAAGGTCATGACTTCAAGGTTTGATTGGAGTCTTCACAGGCTAAATTCAAGTTTATGGACTTCCAAAAGTGTGATGTGCCCTTTTATGCCACTAATGGGATATGGGGTGTAGGATATTCCTATGGATGGATCACCTAATGGATGACAAGTCGTTTTGGACCCTGGAGTAGAGGACCGAGTCCAATAGCAGCACGTGGTTATGAGGATCATATGAACGTGTTCTAACTTATTCTTGGTCAGAACATACATGCTTACAAACGTGAAAACTGTTAAGGTAATCCAGTGAACCTTAAGATTAAGAACAGCAGGAAAAAGCGGTCAAGCTATGGCCATGCCTTCGTGTCTGGAGGGAGAAAGTTCATATGCATGTTAGTAAGAACCAACCCTTGTTTAGGTTATCTGGATTACAAAGAGTAGAACTCTATTTTTACACATAAGTGTAAGACCATACTTGTGAAGCATGCTCAGACAGAAGTAGAGACGCTAGATAACGTGAGATTGGAAACTACCTGAAGAGTAGTGAGATGGTGATAGTACATTAGTAAGGGAAGCAGAAGACATAATGCGTCTTAGGGAAAACCTTGGACATAGATAAAAGTATCCTCAGAGCTTGAGGAAGACTAGTTACCAAACAAGAGTTTTTAGAGAGTTTCATAGGATCCTTTACAAAAACTTGAGAGATGCACACGCACGAGCCAATATAAGATATGACTACGAAAGGAAATGTGACTTGATCAACCATAAGACACTACAGGAGTTGACCTAAGTGAATGTAGAGGACTTATACGAGGAACCTTTACTTTCAAAAGAGCCTGCATTTAGCTCAGATGAGTATTAGTACTCAGGCGAGCTACATGACAAGTTATCTTGTTGTGAGGAAAGACCTATGTTGGCCAATTGGGAGCTAATTACGAGACCATTCTTGGTGAAGTAGTAGGTTTGTAAGGGTCTCGACAAGTTTAGGATACCTCATATGAGGATCAGGGAGAGAGATATATCGAAGACAACTACTAGGAGCAATCACGAGGAAGGAAAGTTTATTGATAAGTCTTTCGACCTAATCAATGTCTTGCTAAGGTTTAGGTTATGACTAATCGAACGTTTAAGGAATTTTCTTGTTATCGTCAGAGACGACTTCAATGACGATATGTCGTTGTACACCAAGATGGAGTTAGTTGGCAAGGAGGGGAAAGTTATGATGGTGTTATGAACATAACAATTGTACGCTAAGTTCCCTAAGAGCAAGTTTTGGCTGTCTGAGATGACAATTGAGGTTATGTGTAGTCAAACAGAAAGATCACAGTGAACCCCGCTAAGTTTGATGCAGTTACGAGGTGGTCAAGACTGACCACAGTCACTGAGTCATGTAGTTTATGGGGGTGTATGGAGAAATTGAGAATGCCCAAAAAAAAAAAAAAAAAAAAAAAAAAAAAAAAAAAAAAAAAAAGGGAAGAGAAGGAAAAACGGCCGGAAAGAAAGGAATAGAAATAGGGAGAAAGAAAATTATAGAGAGAGGAGGAAAGTTCTAGAGAGAGAGAAGGAGGTAGCCGCCGCTCCGGCCACGAGGAGTCCGGTTCCGGCCGAGCCTTCTTCATGAAATCTTCACAGAACTTAGAAGAGAACATTCTTAACTTTTAGATCATCGAAAACCATCAAGAAATGAGGAAAAATCTAAAGGTAAAGTTCTTGAATCCAGATTCTCGAAATTGCTTCAGATCTCTGAGATATAGTAAGAGTTAGAGCCTGAAATTTGAGTATGTTAATCTACAGAGGATTACGCTCAAAACCTGAGAAGGAAGTTGTAATCGATTCAGATCGGAAATGGGAGTTTCGGCGTTCGTCAAAGAGGTAGGTATTGATGTTTCTTGCCATTTTCGGACTAAGGTAATTATCCCGGGGATTAGAAATAAATTACAAGAAAAATACCTGCCTAAAGATGAATATACGCTCTACAAATCTCGTGAAAGAACCATGTTGATCCGAGTTAGGTAGAACGAAATGTGAAAATGTAAAGAAAATGGAACAAAGTAATCGAATGCTGGAAATCGCAGGAGAAAGGAGGAGGCTGCGCTTCGCCGGAGGAGAAGGGCCACGTGTCAAGCGTCCATTGGAGAAGAAAAAAAATCAAAGAAATACTTCGCGTCGGGCGGGATTCGATGGCCGGCGGCCCGCTACTCGAGTTCGCGACCCGATGACCCGCGCGCAACCCGGACCACCGACCCGGCTTCTCGTTGCCACGCGTCAGCGTAAAAGAATTCGAATTTCCAGCGCGTCCTTCCGGTTTCGAACCGACGACCTCGACCTCGGCTGACCGTTCATCGGGGCGCCACGTGGCAACACCTCAGCGCGCGTCTCCCCTCCCTCATGCGCGTCCGTACGCGCGCGTGGCCGTGCGCGTGTAGCTCCTTCCCAGGCGCGTGTGAGCGCGTGAGGGTTTAAATGAGAAAATTCAGTATTTGTGGACACTCTACTGGTGTAGAAATGCTCAACGAAGAACACGCGTCAATCGGGTAAGTCACCACCTGGAACTTTAGGAAGAAATACTTGCAGGAGTCGCTTGGTTATGCATGCATGCTAGTTTAATTACCTTAGGTGGTATTTTTCCATGATTGAATGTAAGTAATTTGATTGTTAAGAGTATGGATGTATTACGTGAAATATTACGAAAATTATCTGAGTGTTGCTATTATGTTCTAAGCTTCCGCTTTATATGTAAATGTTTAATTCATGCTGAAAGGAGAATAGGAACTTGTGAACTCTGCGCTCCGGGATTTGACGGATGTCATGGCCCCGTTGAGCATGTATGTTTATTTTGCATGATGATGCTGGATGATAGTTGTGTGCACACTCAGTTAATTTCCACGTCCCACGAGAATGATAAAGTCTAGGGATATGTGGTTAGAGTAACAAGACACTAAGGTATAAGACCTAACATTCCCCAGTAGGCTAACAGACCACCACGGCATACGAGCCACCTCTAGAGTACCCTAGGCTACTTGTGTGTGGATGGTGATATAGCTTCGTGGGGGACCAGCGGGTTCCTGATCAGGACTCGACTGCTCGATAGCCGTTTAGTATGGGAAACGGGATACCCACGTCGTAATTGACCGTTTAGCTGGATGGAATAGGGGAGGTAGCCCTCCCAAATACAGGGGGATTACCATGGGGCTAGGGGGTTGCAGCTCACTTCCTAGGCAAGACCCCAAGTAATCTCATACCCATGCCGAGGTAGCCACTCGCAAGGCACCAGTCCGACACGGGTTAGCATAAAAGGAACTCTAGGGGTATAAATAGAAGATCTAAGAACCAAAGAAGCCCGAAGGGGGCAAGTCCCTAGGGGGAAGCCCTAATGAGCTAAGACCAGAATCAGATGATCTAGAGCCAAAGGAAAGTCCGTGGTTGTTTGTTAAGTTTAGGGTGCGACGAGAGCCTACAAGTAGGTGGCTTACTGAGTATAATTTTTATACTCATTCCTTTTACCCTTTTTTTTTAGGTGCCGGTCGAGGTGGAGG